GGGATTTCCTCTGGGGGGGTGGGGGGGTGCAAAATAGTTAACTGGGGGGGCCAACATGGGGGCTGGGGGGCCTTGGCCCCCCAGTCTATATGTTAAAAAATGCCCTGTTTATATAACAAACAGAAAAATACATGAGTGCTTGGAAATATCAGATTTATTTCTCGTATTGATATCTGGTATTTCCGTGTATTATTCTCTATTTATTATATAAACATAAGTGTTATATGGAGTTTTTGGCCACTGAGAAAATCGTATTTAAACACACGAAAAAAATACAATATTTTTACGTGTGAAAATATCATTTTTGCAAGCCAATCAAAAAGCGCTTAGGAAATATATGTTTGACCAATCAGAGAACTTGTTCCTTTTTTATTTACTAGTTTTCATATACGTACATTTCTGCACTATGATGTACTGTTTAATAAACGAGCAGGAGTGTTTTATCAGGTTTCAAGAAAATTTCCTAAGACACGCCTCCAAGTCGATATTTTCGCGACGATTTGTTTCGCCGACAAATTGGGTGACCGGACTATATAGCTTGCACTCGGACGGGACAAGAGTCTTCAAATTGTAAAGTCTTTTTCATTCGTTCAGCATGAAGCATAACGATTTTTTTCTTTATATATACAGATCATATTCCGTGCCCATGTGGTTGGGAGAAAATCTTGAACAGTTGTTACCTGTTTGTGAACAAAACGGTTACTTGGGACACAGCTCGCGCAGATTGTCTGAAACGTGGCGGAGACCTAGTCATTCCTACCAGTAACACCGAATGCGATCTTCTCAGTCAGCGTGCTTATACCCTTGGAATTGATCGTGCGTGGATTGTGCCTTCAGGTATCTCAATTATACATATAACTTTGACATGTTATCGTGCATGCGATCGCATGCATAAATCAAGCATATAGGCGAGTTGTGTAGTTAATTTACACAACGCAACTCAAGTTGTAAGCAGGTTGCATGCGAAATTTAGTACTAATATGTCATGAAAATAAAAGTATTAAAAATTTTAATTGTATTTTGCAAGAATTTTTTTATTTTTGCAGACGACGACAGGATGCGAAATTCTATAATACCTGTGGAAAAGCATTAAGTTTCACACGCTGGGATGCGGGCGAGCCAAATGATCAAAGAAATGAAAACTGTGTCCAGATATATTCGCATGGCTCAGGAAAAGCAAAATGGAACGACAAGTATTGTAACACCCTCTATGGATACATTTGCCAATTTAAAGCACACAGATGTGAGTGTTTAACAAACTAGACAACCTATTAAGCGTTATGGTCGCTGGGGTCATTGCTGATAAGCGATGTTCTGAAAAAATGTGATCGTGATTGAGATTAAGGTTGCTGCCTTTTATTGGTTGTTTATGTCTCTATATGAAGTTGTTTGTTGGTGTGAGACTTAATATGGAAACTTTGTCAGAAATGGGATTCAAAGAGAATCAGTAACGAGGTCCTTAGCAAAATTTCTTGAGGAAATTAAATGCATTGAATATTGGCAAATAATGACAGGAAATAAAAAGTGTATTAACATATTAAAGTCCATCAAATCAGGTGTTACTTTTACTAATGTCAGAAAATCTTCCCTAAGAATTCAAAACAACAAAAAATATTTGGTGAGACATTTAGGAATTTTTACTAAAACTAAAGAATATTTTTCAAGAATCTAGGGAATTCATAGAAAGTGGAAGTGTAAAGCCTAAGATTCTGCCGCTTTGTTCCCTCTTAAAATTACATATTTGGCGACGTTTATTTCGTTTCGGCACGGTTTTTGTCGAATTATTGTAGATCTACAAACGATTGATTTTTCTTGCAGATGATTGTTGGCGTGCATGTTAATTTAGAGGCAAAATTACCCATACGTTTTGATGGTTTACAAAATTGCATAAGTAAAAAGCATCCGCCATCTTGAATTTTGATCTAATGTTGCTGGCGCCATTACATGAATTATTCCGATTTGTGACCCGGCCACCAAACCGAAAACTTACAGTTATTCCTAAAAATGGCAAGAAGATCAAATTATAGATCGCTACACCTTAAAACAATCGGGCAAATATTCTCGAAATATCGTAAAAGCTATACGCTACAATGATGCTACATTCTTAAAAATTTTCAGTTTTGCAAAAAAAACACGAAGTGAATTCAGACACTATAGGGGCCGGTTGTATGAAACTCTTAATCACTTTTTTAATCACTATTTTGTTGTCAAATAGTGATTAACTCTCAAATAGGCGCTTCTTATTGGATGACGTTTGCACTTAACCATAGTTAACTTTAATCACTTTTTTATACAACCGGCCCTAGGATTATTATACATATATTGGTCTAGTATTACCAGGGTCGTATGCAGAATTTTCTCACCGGGCGGGGGCGGGGGGAATAATATCTATATGTTGACAGAATCATACATTCATGGATTCGCAAAGATAATAAGCGCTATTTTGTTTAATACCTTAAAATAACATTATAAAATTAATAAGTTAGAAAAAGGCTATCATCAAACCTATTGATAAGGCAAAACCGATGCATCATTCCAATGGGCCGATCACTGATTGGGTGAACCATAACGTTGGTCGTACACTGGTCAATTTTAATAATCTTAACTGATAAGTAAAATTCAAACCCTTATATTAAATTTTCGACGCCTACTGTGTTAGCTGCGGAAAAATGTGGAACACAACTACTGCGCTTTTTCCGGACACCCTGAATGTAGTTGATAACGTGTGACACAGATGGAGTATTGAACAGTGCAATACTTAATTTGGTGGTCACTCCCCGGTCAGTACATATATTTTAAATCTTCCAGTCGATCTAAGCTACATGTGTTATGATTCAAGATTTTACCTCGACGCACAACGCGCTATTTGTATGCGCAGTTCACACTATATGGATGCCATTGACCTTTTAATTAATAGATTGTGCAAGCCACATGGGCACTGCATTGGTGTTTAACACAGTAAAATATGTTGATTTTTTTATTTCAGTTGTGTCAGCTTCCTACTCGATTTTCTTCCGTTTTAAGTTTTAACTATATGTCACGTTATACTCCCAAGGTATATACAATTGATAAAACAAAACAAGAACGAAATCGACACCGGGACTTAACTGATGTCATGATAATGCATGTCATAATAAAAAGGATAATAAAAGCTCACTTTACACGCTTTATTTGCTGTTTTTTTACCTCTTTTACAAAAATGGAAAAATCGGCTAAAAATGGATGAAAAGTAAAGGCTGTAACCTTACTTTATTAAAGATAATAAAAGCTCACTTTACACGCAATATTCAGAAAATTTTCTCTCAGTACAGCAGATTCATTTTTTCAGCGGACCTCCAATGAAAAATTGAGAGCTTTAATTGAATTTTTCACAGAGATGCCAATTTTGTGTGAGCTGTCCGCTGAAAAGTTAAAACTTTCGGGACTTATAGCGTTGGGTAATTTTCATTGACCAACATTTTTCAAAGGACGTCTTCATCTTATTACTATAATATGCGAGGCTCTTCCACCAAACTCTTTTTGCCAAAACCTAAGACTGAATATCTTAAAAAAGTCTTAGTTATAGCTAGAGAAGCAAAATTGTGGAACAGCCTATAAGATGAAGCAAGAAACAAAGTAAACTTGTACTTCTCTTACTTCGTTGAATTCATGTTATACGACACCTGGCCAATTAATTAATTTATTATTAGCATGACAAAATTACTGGATGCTGATTGGTTGAGAAGAGTACAATTATTTCATTAATTGTACTGCAGTACAATTAATGATTTTCCCAAGACAAACAAAATGGCAGAAAGGTATTTTAAACACAAATGTGAAATGAAATTGCCCTAGACAAACTAGATGAAAATGCGAACAAAAGCACCAAATTTTGCTTGAACAAAAGAATTAAATGAAAATACAAACAAAAGCACCAAACTTTGGTTGAAAGTCTGGCAGGACTGGGCTTTGGCGAGAGAATATGATGTTGACATTGGGAAGTACGTATCCAATTTTGTGATGCTAATAATAAACAAGTAATCATGCGATGTTGCTCGTACAATTAGCCTGATTAATAGTACTCGTAATGTTTGGAAATTTGACAAATTGAACTCGCCCCGGCAGCTCGTCCAATTTTGGCAAAATTTCCAAACATCACTCGTGCTATTAATCCCTAATTGTACTCGCCATCGCATGATTACCAACACTAATTAATTAATTACGTTAATTAAGAATATTTCATATTACTAACATTAATTTAATATGTAAATAATTATATACTAGTTGTATTTGTAAATGTATCGTAGTTGTATTTGTAAATGTATCGTAGTTGTATTTGTAACTGTAATGTAATGCATGACCATTATTTGTATTAATTGTATTTTTTTAACTATTTAAATCTACGTCCCCCTTGGAAACCATCTTTCGCTGTAGGGGTTAGCGTAGCTAAATAAATTTTTACCTACCTACCTACCTACTGGCTCATTTTTGAAAAGAATTACAGTAGCATACAGTCGCTCAAAGTCAACCTTTATTGATTTCCAAATACCTAAAATTTTCTTACTATGCGGTCGTGTCTGAATAATAATATATATTTTTCTTTTTAAAGGTGATTAAAGCAGCAAAATTCAAATAAAGTCATGAAACATAGCTACTGTAGTATATAGTATGGTATAACTTGTAGGCTGTGTACTGTAGTAATTCAGATATTTACAGAAAAATGTCATTTTTTGTAAAAGAAATCCTGATTAAATGTAATGTTTAGTTTGACAACTGTTCTGAGTAGTGTTCTAGTCTTGAACCGCTAACAAAGGGGGCCTCAAAGAGGGGAGCTATGGGGTGTAGCCGGTGCAATATTGTACCAGGGCGAGTGGTGATACGACCGCGTTGTTCATGTTAAACGCCTTTTTCCATTGCAGTCGCTTTGCCCGCGCGGGCGCTCCGCCCAATTTTAATCCCGTGAAAAATCAGTCGCCCGGGCACGCCAGGAAAGTTGAATCTAGTTCTACTTTCATGGCGTGTCCGCGAGCATGCGGACGGACAAAAAATGCACAGGTTAGGCAACTACAGAGAAAGTTGAGTAATGTTCGCTCCGCCCGCGCGGGCAAAGCGACTGCAATAGAAAATGGCCTTAAAGGACGGTTTCCATTGCAGTCGCTTTGCCCGCGCGGGTGGAGCGGGCTTTGAAAGTCGCTTTGCTCACGCGGGCGTGACAGGCGTCAAAAACAATGAACGCTTCACCCGTGCGGGCAAAGCGAACGTTAATGGAAAACGGCCTTATAACACGATAAGAAGAACCATTTTATTTTCAGATTAGTGTGATTTCATTTTCATATTCGAACAATGATTTTTAATATAACCACAATAACTTTGGAACGGTTAAAGGAATCGAAAAAACATTCAATGCCACTCTTCATTAACATTAAATAAATGAAATAAAACATCTTAGACATTTCTAGCATGTCAGATTTTCTCTGAAGGCCGCGTGGAAAATTTGTGATTATGACGAGTAACCATGTTCGAATCTGAAAACAGAGTCGTCAACTTGACGGACTCAGCGTTATATTGATCTCAAAAACGAGAGAATGCCATTCTGCAATAGGTTTTAATTAAAATTTAATATACAGAAACTTAGCTAGAAGTTTGTATATTAAGTTAAGTTTTCTCTAGTAAGTAAAAAAATGAACTGAGTTTTTACTTACTTGCGTATTTACTTACTTATACTCTCTGGAGGCCGCACATAACATTTGTTGTCATACGGCGTGTAATTGCTGCATGTCTGACACACTGACGGAAGCAGAAATCCAAATATAAAAATAAAATCGTAAATTTTTTAAAACGGCTGCCGATGTATCGAAATATATGCTTTCAGGGCTGCCAACCTCTAAACGATCTAGACTGCGAGCGGTCCCTCCTTTCCGCGGGTTTAGATTTCGGGCACGAGAAAGCAATGGAGGGACCGCAGACAACACATCAAGAAATGAAACCGCGTTGCTCACACAACGCAAAATTCCCATTGGTCGAAATCGATACGCCTGTCAATCAGATCTGATATGTAGTAATTATGCTATAAATAATTTCCAGAGTGAACGTTGATTTTATACAGGGTGTGTCAAAATAAAAGTAATCGAACGTCAGCGCGCTATTGTGTCTAAATTACTGCGTTGATGAACGACATTTTTTAATCTTCGGGAAGATTAGGCTTTTAGCTGTTGAATCATATGTTCTTCATGCCAAAAGGATAAAAAATAAGCAAGTACGAGTCTGATAAAAAATGCTAGTCAGAATCGCATATTTTCACCGTTGTAATATGCGATTCTGACTAACATTTTTTATCGGACTCGTACTTGCTTATTTTTTTTCCACTTGGCATGAAAAACATGTCATTCAACAGCTAAAAGCCTGATCTTTTCGAATATGAAAAAAAATATACATACGCCGAGTAATTCAGGTACAAAAGCGCGCTGAAGTTCGATTACTTTTTTTTATACACCCTGTAAATAAACATGACATTAACGGTTTCTTATTGGATAGATTTAATTGGATATAGTAATGTTTATGCAAAGGCGGAGCCAATTTGACAAGAGCGAAAAGTGGGCGTATTTTGTTTCTTGATGTGTTGTCTGTGGTCCCTCATTTCTTCGAGGGACTGCTCGCGGTCTGTAAAAGACCCGTACAAGAGTTCTGAAAAGAACTAGGGCCTTCATTGGCCTGAGCAGCCTCTAAAAGACGACAAAGAACAGCAACACATTCAATTACGACAGTGGCCATGTTGGATTGCTCATGGAAACGGGATTATATAAGGCCAAGTAAAAAAATAGTAGTTTCTCGTCCCCGCCCGCATCCTTTTTCCCTGCCGCATGGATTTTTTTATGTTTTATATTCGAGCCTCTCAAAGAATTTCCACTTAGTATATTTGGTCAATTTGCTCCTTTCGGCATAGTTCGGTTGCCGTTCGACTAATTTTCGTCAACTCTCGCTTGCTCTTCGGTACTTCGCGCCCGCTGTTCGCGCCATATTGTTATTTTGGCGCCATATTGCATTGGTATTCATTAATAGTAGCTGTTTGTCTATTTTAATATATATATACGTTTTATGAGTAAACTTCAATATTTGCGTGTGTTTATAGGCTATTTTGTAAAGAACAATATTTGAAGGTTTTAAATTAACGAAAAAAAAGAAAAAATCGCCCACATTCTCCTTTTTTTTTCAAAATTCGGACAAGAAACTACTAATTTTTTTACCGGTACTTGGCCTAACGGGAGGAAAAGCGACACCAATGACAAGATAAAGGGCCCTAATGCAAAGATTAGTTAATCGCGCAAACGAGACTGACTATGCAATCAAGGATATAATCGAATACAAAAATTCTACATTTTATGAAATTCCAATGATGTCTCATGGATACCTATTCTACGTGTTAGTGTTTACTCATTTGTCTATGTGTGTATTTTTGAAAGTTACAATAATTCAATATTTCATGAAATTCCAATGGTGTCTTATGCATACTTGTATGTGTTTGTGTTAGCCTGCGAACAGGCTCTCAAACTGAATTGAGAGCCTGCACAGATTATATACAATTTTGAATATCTACCTATATCTGCCCCGTAACGTTCGTTTTTCCAAATATGGAATGTCTATCCTTATATGGTGTTGTTTACAACTTTCGTGCAAACAAAATTTAGAACGTATAGTTTACACTGTTTTTCGAAATATAAGATATTCAAGCAAAAGTTCAAATGTTTTAAATACTGTTTTCTCAAAACAGAACATTTCGTGCTTTGAGTTACTGTCGATGCAATGGAAGTGTTGATAAAATATTGCAACAATCCTTTCCTTAAGTTGATCAATTCAATTAAATGAGCCAATTAGATTTCGTTTCAGAACCGGTTGACCAATAGGAAACGCACAGGAAGTAAAAAGAAATTTGAATTCGTATGAATTGATCAACTTGAGAAAATGAATTCATGCAATATTTTATCAACACTTCCATTGCATCGACAGTAAGATGGCCAAGACCAATTAGATCAGTTAATGTGTTTTTATGCATAGTGCTTCAGCAGTTGACATATATAGAGCTCAGCGAAAACATATAAATTATAGCATCTGACCAATGAGAATTTCGCGTCGTGATTTGAGACGAAGATATTCAAATTCATTAGTCATCGATGCAGGCTTTCAATTCAGCTTGAGAGCCTGTTCGCAGGCTATGTTTGTGGGTGTATGTGTATGTGTATGGCTCTACTTAAAGTATTATATATGTTGGGCACTTATTTTCATTAAAAGATTAAGCCAAAGACAATACGTTCTCCATCAGACCGGACAATGATACATTCGATTTGTTACTTTTCAATCATGTCGAGGTAATAATGGTCATTAGTATAAATTTCCAGGTGACTATTAACTTTTCTGCATTCTGATTGGTCAAGATTCACTGTCTCTGAAGTGATAGTCACTGGTCAGTGACTATAGCTTTTTTTTCAAAATGGCTGCTCGTTTTGCCGTAGTAACAGAGGAGGAAATTGCCAAAATTAGAGAAGATAGCATTCCGAAAAAACCCAAACAAGCTACAAAATATGGTTTAAAAATATTTCAAGGTAAAATATTAAACTTTACGTTCTTTTATTTGGAAAAAAACTGGCCTAGTCGCAACGCGACACAGAGCCGTGTCTGAGATTTAAATTTTGTAAACAAACTATTTATAGCGAAAATAAATTTATTTGAAATGAAGTTTTATAAAGTTGTGTGGATTATTGTTTGTAAACACCTGGAAATTTATACTAAAACAATTAGTCGCCTCAGGCTCGGTGATTACAAGCCTATATTCACTTCGTCTTCGGCTCAGTGAATATAGGCTTGTAATCACCTCGCCTTCGGCGACTAATTGTTAATTAGTATAATTACATAGGTGATTATTAAAAATCTCCACGCTGATTGGTTGCCGTTGAGGTGATTATATAACGCGATAATCACCTAAGCGATTTTCGAAATGGCGGCTGAAGCCGTTTTGTCAATAAAATGACGGAGAAATGTGTATTTTAATTTTTTTTCTAAATAATCACCTATGAAATCATACTAAAACAATTATTCACCTTAGACTCGGTGATTATTTTGAATAAAAATCTCGAATTCGTCTCGGTTTTTATGCATTGATAATCACCTCGCCTTCGGTCGATACTGGCTTTTCCTGACAAACTTGAACGCGGTATCAATAAAGTGTAAACCAGTGGATGTAAACTTCAAAGAGAGAACATACAGAATTCGTCTCATAAGTGACGTTTTGATAGCACCGGATGGCAAACATCCATTTAATTAAAGTGAGCAAAAACAAAACATTGTAATGCTAAGTATTACGTTTACACACAGCTCGACTTTACGGCATGGTGGAAAAGACGGAGTGCGGAGTACGCGCGGAGTCTGTCAAAAAATTGTTTATTTGCCAATAAAGATTCAATTTTAACGAGACTCCGCGTTTTCCGCTTTATGGGGGCCGCAGTAAAGTGTAAAACGCGGAATCTGTCAAAAAATGTTTATTTAGCCTAAAGATTCGATTTTATCTTACAGTAAACGACATTTTGTAACGGGTTGGGATAAAACGCGGAACCGGAATGTGGATT